CCAGGTCACCGTTACACCCATACTGCCTGCTCTGTCAAAACTTCAATGCTGTTTTGCATAGAACCACTAATAAATAATAACTAATGCTTAGTTCTTATTCCAATTACAGCAGTTTGGCTACACTGAAGGTCAAAACTTAAAATGATAAAACCCATTCTTATCTTAAAAAAAAGAGAAATATTTTTTTCTGCACGGCCAGCAACATACCGTCAAAAAGAAGCAGTTAGGCCTGTTAGCCAAGTTCCATTCTAACATAGCGCTTGTTCACATTATGCATCAACCAGCAATTAACATCAACAAACAATTAACACCGGCATTTAGGGGCAGCTAAATGTAGAGCCACACGTCGCCGCTTCAGAAAAACAGTCATTTCCATTTTGGCGTTGTGGCTACAGAGCCACAGAATGAGACAGGAACGCAGAAAAGGCCTCCAGAGAATAGCTGGGTTCTGCTACAACACCATTTTAAAAAGCGTTTGACAACCAGGTGGGCTGGGGAAATAGTTAGGAGAAAAATAAAGGATGCACACTAAAAATTCACAGCTGCACTACATTGAAAACATTGGGTATCTAATGTTTATAAGCTTTCCATAGCACAGAGTCGGCAAATATGTTCAACCTTGGAGCTGAGAAGGGCTTCATCATCATGCAGCCTGACTCCCAACCCACAGGGGTCCACCCCCAGTGAGTTAGGGGAACAGGGAAAATGCTTCATTGCAAGTTCCAGGCATGATGCGTCTTTTAGTTATTTGAATTCATAAAATCCCAACTCCAACTGTGCAATGTCAGTAATCATGTTCCATGCAAGTAACTAGACAAAGATCTTTGAGGCAATTCACATTCTAATTGGCAATAACTTTGGCAATGTGAATCTTAGAGTGGTGATGGTGTCTATCTATTGGAGACTGCAAACAGAAAACAGGTATGAATGAGGCGTACAACAGATGTAGAAATGAATACAAAAGAAATTATGATTCCATCTTTACAGCATGCTTTAATGGGACCACATATCAGCACCATTGTGTGATGCTGCCACATTGTCCCAGGAAATGTCAACTATGCCAGTCTAATGCACAAGCGACAGAGACAGTCAATGAACATTAAATATATCCAAACTGTCTGGGAGCCTCAGTGCTTGTTCAGAACGTTGCCCAAACAGTCAGTTCACGTTCAATGCCTCCATGTCACACAAACATGAAGCAGAATGGAGCTACACACTAAAAGCCCAGGAGGGTTGGAGAATGAGAACATGGAGTCCAATGTTCAGCAACATCGGAGCTTCAGAAATATATAACCAATCATGGCAGATATTCAGCTGACTGTATATCTTCAGACATTACGCGCAGCAATAAATCAACATATAATATCATCAGTACTGCATTTTATGTGCAGATAAAACACCCTTCACAATGTCATGATGCAAGGAGCACAAAAACTATGGAAACACATCCGTAGCAATGGGAAATGGCACAGGAGAGGTGTGCTGCATGGGGCAGGCTTGGGGCTGGCCAAAGTTGATTCTTCGATTTGACACCTCTGATAAGCGATAGCACAGGCATCCTCCGCAGTTGTCACCCTGCTGGCAGTCCCTGGAAGTATGCTCACAGCAGCCAAACCTGGCGCTAACAGATCAAGAGCAGGAAGGGTGCAGCCCACAATCTCTTCAATAAATCCCTCTATCTCTCCGTCTCTCTCCCCTTTCCTATCTCTGCCTGCGTCTGCAGGTTTATCTTTGAAATCTCCCCCAGGTAACCGTTAAAAAAGCTCTTCAGATACCAGGAACGACAGGAGGCAGCTAATGGCTACATTTCAGCCAGTGTAAATGGTGATTAAATGTTCCTGGAACTAAACCCATGTAAAAGGGACGGATTGTATCAGTCACAGAAGAGCATAAAACTGAGGGCAAATGTCATGGAATTTACAGCTGCTTTCAGCTTTCTCAGAAAATGCAGGCAAGCAAAGTTCAATCCAACATCGATGGGCTCAAACCATCTGGGACCTTCGATGAAATCATCTGACTGGACCATGGGACTTCATATGACATCCCACATACCTTTATGCAGCTTAAGCTCTGCATCTGCGTTGTTCATTAATCATGCTCAGCTGCAAACTCTTACCGCATACATACAAAATTACTAATAAAACTGCTGTTGTGAAGCAAAAAATGCCAGGACCATCGGTGTCAGAAATGAGACCTATTATACAGCACATATCAATTTATCAGTTAAATTCCAAAGGAGCTCCCAAGTCCAGGCACCAGGTGCACGGTTTTCTTGGAGGGCTTCCTTCCTGTGTCT